GTAGGTTTTATCACTCCCGTCAAAGAAAAAGAGCGAGAAAAAAAAAGACAACTGAGCACACATGGAATAAAAAATATACCCACTTGTATGTTCAAAAAAAGCATGAAAACGATAAACGTAGAAATCATAAAGTGAGATAGTGGGCAAGATGTGGATCGAGAGTCTGATGCGATAGAACTTGGCTGTGTGGTGACTACATTGATGTGTAGCAGATAGTGTAAGACAATAGAGAACGAGAACAGAGGCTATGAGGAGCTAATCGCTCCATCACAGCAGCCCACATTCTCGGAGATGGATTTGTAGGAGAATATCCTGGATGGCACTCAACACGACTGTTAGAGCAATTGAGATCAGTATCCCGTGGGAGACGGTGATCGAGGAAGTGCTTACATTTGATCTGTTGGGTGTCAGTTGCGCAAGTATAGTGAGCGTATATTTGCTTGGTTGCCGCGTTCTGATTGAGCGCGACGAATCGGTGGAGCAAGTATTCACAGGCTGCATCGTAGTTGTTCCCCGCCGTGTAGTCCGGGAAATAATCTCCCAGTGGCGAGTGAGGTAACTTTTCAGCGAAAAGATCGATCTTGTTCAAGAACAATATCTGAGGGACGTGATTCGGTGAAAAGACTCAAAAAAGAAGACACCATGCAGGCTCACGATCGATGTCTTGACAAACCACCGCGAATTGCATATTGAGTCGAAGAGGGTCAACGCTTCCTGCATACGGTTCTACGTAGGCTTAGTTGATTTGTGTTCATAGACTGGCGGAAGGGATAAAAACCTACCACACTTTCGTCCTCGTACAACATCTGATCATACTCGCTCAAACTGACCAAGAACACCAAAGCGGTGACATTCTCGAAACAATGAATCCATTTCTTACGCTCACTCCGTTGCCCACCGACATCAAAGAGCTTGTATGTGAGCTCGCCAACTTGGAACGTCGTCTCGGTGATACCGGTCGTCTTGACTCTGCTGCGGAGGATATCTTGGTCGGTGGGTAGGTATCCGGGTGCTGCCATACGATCTATCGCGTTGAAGTAGTATACGGCAGAATCGTTCAACTGGAATTCCCGCGACCTTCGGACGGCTTCCTTGACACCGGGGTCGCGCCAGAGCCCTCGAACAGCATCAGAGACATCGCGGGGAAGGATGTCGCCTTCGATCTGACCAGGAAGCGCCAGGACGACTGCTCGACGAGCGTCATTCTGCGGTGACAAGGAAATGTCCAGCTGGGGCATGGCTTCCAGAATAGCACTATAAAAACATCAAAAAAACTGTTTTTCGTGCATTCGACTGCAACGAACCGCATGGACTGTATGGTATTGGAATATATAATCTCCTTGTAAGAATCCCGCTCTGAGTCGTTGTAGCCGCCATGGTGGATAAGTTTCATCTGCTTCAGCACCGTTGACTGGAGAAATGTATGTGTTGAGTAAGCAATGTATTTTTCTGTCGTAATGGAGAGTCTGACCTTGCCCGACTCTCCCGCTCCCAGAAGCAGCATTTTGATTTCGTTCTTGGCCATCATACGATCCCGTTTGAGTTGATTTTCGATCTCATCGTTACCTGTATAGGTTGAATGAAAGCATGAGTACCAATTCTGCGTCGTTGACACACTACCAAAAACTAAAAGGATACGCACGAGCTCTCGCTTCGCTGTCGACACCCGTTGACTGTACGCAGCCCATTTTTAGGAGCCAGCAAGGAAAGGCAAAGAAAGAGAAAAATGAAGACTAAAACAGAGAATCAGAGTAGGAGGGATCAAAAAGTCAAGGAGCGGTCGATCCAGCAATAATTAGCAGGAGGTGGGAAGCGTCGGCACAGAGCTCTGACAGAGCTCGAGAAAAACTGTGGTTCACACTCCGGCTGATGGAATTATGACATATTTATTTATTTATTGCTCGGCATCCCTTTGTAAGACGTGAGGTAAGTCCTTTTATGGCGTTACCAAGAAGTTCGCTCCCCACTTCTGGGCCTTAGCTTGGACTTTCTTGATTCATAAACAAAGGCGTCACCGGGACCGTACAACTGTTTGTCTCTTCTTCGAGCGATCCTTGGGCCCTGCAGATTGAGCAATGGAGGGTACGTCGCCCGCTAAATACGTTCGCCGCCGGGTCATAGTGGGAATCAACAAGTCAGCCGGAAACTGCAGTACCTGGTAGCTACGTTTGTGGATCATGATGATGGGAACCCCATCACGCTAAAAACATCCTTGAGATGATTGGCCTTCAACTGTATCTTGACACAGAAGCACCGACGCATATCGGCTGTCACGTTGTCTGTGTGTCATTGCACAAACATGGTAATATACGGGTGCGACATTCGCTACCGTCGGAACAGGGAGCAAGTCCACCGTTGCCGACACCAGTAGGAACTGCGACGAAAGGTTAGATTCTGGTCTGCACCGCACGCCCCGCCACGACGTCGACTTCGGAGGTGTCCTGTCACTCCAGTGTAGACTGGCCCCGTCCAAACTCTCCGCCTAAAGCTCTCCGCCGACTACACAAACGCACAATCCAAGTACACAGTGATCAATGAATGATGTCGCATTGCCTTACATCAACACGAACGGCTACTTGTTAAAACTACGATTCCGCAATGATCGAACAACTTAAAATGGTCAACACATTACAAAGGCAATGTGTGAGTAAGATATAACTGTTCCCGCCGCGTGGCCTGCACACTCCATCGAAATGAACCGCTGTTTTTAGGATATCATCAAAACGGTCAAGAATGACTGCCACAAGTAAACGCAAGTGTTGTTGTATTATATATATATATTGATTTTGTTGGCTATGATATATCGGTTTGCAACAGCTTTGTACCGAAGTTCGCAAGTGTTCCATTCAACGTTTGCATTCAAATCAGCTTATTTCACCAGCGCTTGGTGTACCGCTGTTATCCAATATTCAGGGCTATGCGATGACTGAAGAACCAAGCAAAAAACAAGGCAAGTACAATGATATTTGGATCGAGAAAATGTTGACTTACGTTCACCTCGACGACATTGTCACAGCCGCAAGGACCAGCGTCCCCGCTCTGCCGTACTGCCTATTCCACTGATCCACCACTGTCATTGTTGATTGTAGTTGGTCGCGGTCATGGAACGCACCTCGCAGGACAATCAAGTATAGACGATTGAGATAATATAGACGACCTTGTGCATATCTGGAGTGCGCCAACATCCCTTCGTTGTCCAACAAGTTAATACTAACAAGTATCGAGACTTGGTTACATTCAACTCCAGAGAAGGAACATGTGTAGGTGCCGAGTATTCTTTTTTGTTTGTTTTCTGGTGCGTTGTTGTTGTTTCTTGTGCTAAACCTGCTCGCTAAGTATGTAAGGTACTTGGTGAAGATGAATTTTATAGATTTACTCGCACGAGTCGCCCAACACAATATCGCTGAGCGAAAGGCTAGGACGGAGGGATTGCAAAATAAAACGATTGAAGGATAATCAGGGATAATCGACGATGATACAGGACGAGATACAGACTAATGAAGCAAAATCGTCACCAGTAGGATTTGAACCTGCGCCCTCTTAAGATGGCGCTGGTATAAATCCGAGTCTCGCACATAATGATGTCCAGCAGTAAGTGACATCAAAGAACGAGAACTAAGCATTAGGCCTGACTCAATGGTAGCAGTTCAGTGGCAGCGCCGACGATGAAGACATCGTCATTGTGAGTAATGCTTCATTCATCGCATTGATTGCTCCTCATTAGATCCATAGACTGAGGGACCGATGCGCGTCAAGACCAGCGTCACTAAGAAGAAAGGCGACGCAAAGGCCAATGGAGCTGCCATTAATGCGGTAAGTCCAGCTCTTTGCGAGGGCATATGCTGGTGCTCAAATTGATCTTGGTTAGGACAAACCTTCCAAGCCGCCAGCAAAGAGACCCGACCGCAAAAATCCAAAGCAGTTGACTCCGACGATGGCGATGGAGAGGGTAGTGAAGACGATGGAGAGGTCCCGGTATGATTCTCCACACCGCTGTAGGAATACCACAACGCTGATGTTTGTCATTTAGGCGAAAAAGAAGCCGAAAAAAACTCCATCCGCACAGGTTTGTTATACGCAAAATAAGCTTCATGTATTTAGCTGACAGTCGCTTGCCCACAGAAAACCGATTTGGAAGTTTGTGAGGTTTCCACTGAATCTTTCGCTAATCTGATGACTCCGCCAGACTGCCATGAAAATGGAAACGCTGAGGATCCAAATCGAGGTTTTAAACGCCAGCCAGCGGACATTGGCTCTACAAGAAACAGAGCTTCAAGCCAAGCTGAAGCTTTATGGAAGCCAAATTCGTCTCCACGAGCAAGAGGCCATGCACACCTACCTCAAGAGCTACTCCTTGGCGAAGGGAACTAATCTCGAAAGGAAGGCTTGACAAGGACGCCATCATGCTCCCCCCCCCTCAACGGCCCCGATGTCGTCCCTGGAGGGCTCCCCTCAATACCACCCATGATCGGTAACGACTTCGAGATGAAGTACGTCACCGAGGATATCGCCGGAACCGTCGCCACCGTAAAATGGCGCAAGCCCGCTGCACGTCTCCCAGCTGCTCCAACTCTAGGCAACGAGATTGTTCCCTGGATGGCCATCGGACCAGGGCCGTCCACTGAGTAGTGGGAATTCTTGACGTCTGTCTCCCTATGAACTAATCTTCATATGCCGGTTCCAGAAACCAGAACTTTCTTGAGCGCTGCACTGTTCGCTGTTCTGTCCGCCGTTCTGTACTTGTAGTCCGATTTGTCATCGCTCCCAATGCCTCAGTGACGTGCTACCACTGCTTGTACAATAGATACTTCCATTGCACCATTCTCGAATTGTACGCTTTCAATTGTGTCATTACATTCGCTTTCTTGGCCACCTAAGTGCATTCCATTGAAAAACGCCAGTAGTCGCGAACTCTGGCCATGAATTTGGCTGATAATCAACAGCAATGTATGACAAAAAGATGAGACCAATTTAATAAAGATTAAATGAAGCAAAAACATCGTCACCAGTAGGATTTGAACCTACGCCCTCAAAGAGGAACAGATGCTTACATAATATATACATAATATTCGAATCTGTCGCCGTAACCACTTGGCTATAGTGACTTTCTTAATATAGTACTTTGATAATGCTTGTCTACTTTATCAGGCACACCCCAAATTAGTGATCGACAATTGCCGTTTATGGGCTGCCCTCCTTTGCTCTGACAAGCACAACCGAAATGTCTTTAACAGACTTGACCGATTCATATGTGCATCCCCCCGAATCTCCACCAATACTCTTGTCCCCTCCAACTAATGATCCTCCACCACCATATCCGTCCTCAGAAAGACGGGCGCGTATCCTGCGCTCCTCTCACAGACAGCCTCGTCGGGGCCAAGGGTCATTACCTGGGCCATCGCATACCCAGCTCTCATCTCCGGATTCGGCGGGTCGGGATGTGATCATAATACGGCCTGCCGCTCGAATACAGGCTCCCCAACTTCTACGTTCGGAAGAAACATCAGAAACGACGCCTTTACTGCCTGCTTCGTCTCCAGTAAGCTCCACAAGGCGTCTAACGGGACGCCCGCGTTCCTCGTCGTATTCTAGCACCGTTGTATCATCTAGTTCCGCAGCACCATCATTTGCGCAGACCGTGCTTTCATTGTTCCAAAATGACTTCGATGATGAGTCCGACGTGGACATATACGAGGCACTTGCGGGACACCACCCTCATCATTCCAGTCAGGGTTTTGACCATCATCGATCTGGTGTCTGCACCCCAGAACTACAAGCGCATAGGTGGCCGCTATTCTCCAAACATGCTTGGGGAAGGTACTTTCGCCCGCTGACCCGCAGGGCATACCACGCGGCTGTTTTCCATTTATTGGTATTGAACTTTCCCTACGCCCTATTTGCGTGGATATACCTCTTTGTGTTCACTTTGGTGAGTGTCGCCGTTATTATCGCTGAGAAGTTCGCTTATTTGGGCGCTCTATTAGACCGGTACCACTTTGCTGATAACGCTACCATTGGGAGCCATTCTATGTTTTCTTGATTTGCTTGGTGCCAGAGCACTAGCCAGAGGAGAGGTATCGTTTAGTCTTTGGGAGATAATACTGCGACTGATGATAATGTGCCAAGCTCGCTCTTCAAACAACGTTCCATGGCCCTTTAGCCTATCCACTTCCCTATTCACCACGGCCTATCTTCAGACGCCGACGCTTGCCGAGGCCTTCAGACTCGGAATCAGAGACCTACTATGAGACTTCGTTTTACAAGAACACATATTCCATGGTTGGTCCGTGTTTACTCTGGTTGCGCCGTGCTGACCTCGGATGAAAGTTTACCGACTCGACGTCATATCAGGCGCTGTTCTATTTCCTGGTAGTAAAGCCCAGCATCACATTGGGGCTGTCCATTGTGCTGGTTGCGGTGGTACCTGTGTCGTATGTGCTCGTGTTCCCTGCACCGATGGTATTGCGAGCGGTTAGAAAGTTGGGGATCTGGCAGGCGAATGTTGCCGTGGAGGGGCTGTATCTTGCGATGTCATAGAATTATACTTAATATCCACTTTCGTATAACATCTTGTGTCCATCGTCACCTCGTGGTGTTTAGCGGTGGCGTGGCAGTGTCAGCTTGAGCGCTAAATGTCGGAAATATGGGACCACGTTCCGCTGACGCGTCTTGACTTGCTCCCCTCACCTGAATTCTGAGTGAGCCTACAGCAGAGTCATTCCAGCGTGTAAAGACTTGATTTGCGGAGCCGTAGTCTTACTTATTAGTCTAGTTATAGCCATACCCTTGCACCAGACACAGCCAGCTTATATAGCCTGTGCAAGGCTCTATTATTCTTGAACTCACACACCCATCATCCCAGACTTGTTCTCCATTGTTTCTCCAGTTCTGCTTGCAGCATTGGCTTGTTCACTCTATCCTCTGCATCCCCACTACCATGGACGCTCTCAAGTCGCTCGTTCAACCCCTCGTAGGCGGCGCAGGAGGCTCGTCGGTCATTGATGGTATGAAACTCGTTGTACTCGGAGGCACAGTCGAAACTGCGAGAAGGGTCTCCAGCTCGGCTTGGTATGTTTTCTGCTCTCCATTAGTATCCTTCACTCATGCTGTATATTTCACACAGGTCCCACTTCGTAAACTGTAAGCGCCTCTCTGACTCCAGTTGCACATGGTCCTCATCGCCACTCTTCTCTAGCATTCTTCCTCACGGCCCATTTCTCAGAGGAAGACTATCCTTACGACTGGTTAATGCTCTGGCTCTCTCGCCGCCCCGAATGGCAGCGCTCCAGAGAGTTTGAGACAACCACCAGAACGACCACACCCGGCTTTTCAGGCTCACGTTCCGTCGACAACTCCTTTGGAGACGACGAGGACGAAGTCGACGAGGACGGTCCTCCTGGCAAGGTCAAGACCAGAGTGGTCTTCCAGCCGACATTCGACACCACTCACACCATCTACTACAAAGGTCACTGGCTGCGTGTGCGGCGTTCAAAGAAGACTGATGGCAGTGGCTGCGAAGTCTTATCAATAAGGCATGTGTCGCCTCCTGAGTCACCCGAGTTTACCCTAATTAATATGCAATGTTGCGCAGTGTCGTCGCAAGGAATAACACTGTCCTAAAACAGCTTGTCCTGCAAGCAAAGAAGGAATATGAAGCGGAGGCCATCCACCGTATTCAAATCTACTTTGCTGACTCGCACGGCAGTTGGCGCTGGACTGACTCGCGCCATAAGCGACCCATGTCGTCCATTGTGCTAAACCCTGGTGTGAAGGAAATGTTACTGAATGATACGCGCGACTTCCTCAAGTCCGAAAAGGTATGTGCTGTCATATTCATCTCCACATTGTCTGACGCTGAACCGAATAACAGTGGTATGCTGACCGCGGTATTCCTTTCCGCCGCGGATATCTGCTCCATGGTGTTCCAGGTTCTGGAAAGAGTTCATTGATTCACGCCATAGCAGGCGAGCTCATGCTTGACATCTATGTGGTGTCGCTTTCCTCTTCATGGATCAGCGACAGCACGCTCACCACGTTGATGGGTCGTGTTCCCGCACGCTGCATTGTGCTACTGGAGGATCTAGACGCCGCATTCACACGCAGTGTCACGCGTGACAAGAGTTCAACTGGAACACCCGACTCGTCCAATAACAATAGCAATGAAGAGGGTCCTGCGCCCGAGCAGCCCTCTTCCGGTTCCAGCAGCCGCCACAGGAGGCACAAGGAACACATCTCTGATGTCAACACACTCAGTTTGAGTGGGCTTTTGAACGCCTTGGATGGCGTCGCGGCTGCTGAAGGCCGCATTCTCTTCGCGTGAGTGGTGCTTCTAGCTCATTGTCATGTGGTCGGTAAACATAATGTTGACGCCATCAATTCAGCACGACGAATCATCTTGAGCGCTTGGACCCCGCGCTTTCTCGACCCGGTCGTATGGACGTCTGGATTGAGTTCAAGAATGCCTCGAAATGGCAGGCGGAGGCGCTGTTCCGTAACTTCTTCCCCTCTACGGAACACGATAACGAGGTGCTGGAAGGTGATCTTGAGGGCATCGAACTTCCCAGCCCCCCATCAGGGCCTCAGACACCCGGGTCGTCTTCGCACGGTTCGACGCTGTGGTCGCTGTCACCCTCGTTCTCTTCCTCTACCGCATCTTTGACAGGCTCACATTCGTCCAAGGGTACGACCCCTGAGTCTGGTCCTGAGGTGTTTGGCGCTAAGAACCGGGCGTATTTACCTCCTCCTGTGGAGGAGCATATCGCCGCCTGCCAGCATTCCGCCAAGCCCCTCGACGGCGAAAAGCTTGCACAATTTGCAAAGAAGTTTGCAGACTCTATTCCTGATGACGAATTCAGCGTGGCCGCACTTCAAGGATGTGAGTTCGTTTTATCTTAGTTCCTGTCATGTTTGGTGGTGCTTTGATTGTTTTTGCTTTCCTGTGGCTGCGGTTCTCCTTGGTGTTGGTGTTGGTGGTGCAGGTGGTGCGTGTGTCGAGTCAGTGATATGGCGCTAATGCTGCTTCTTTCCGTGATGATAGACCTGCTTAAAAACAAGTCGCAACCCGACGCTGCAGCCAACGAAGCAGCTGCTTGGGTGATCAGTGAGCGCGAGCTCAAGGAACGCCTGAGGAAGGAGAAGGAAGCTCGTGATTTGAAGGACAAGTTGGACGTAAGTGCTCAGGGTGTATCTTATCACTGAGCAGTCCACCTTTTCCCACCCTCGTGACACGAGCTGATCACTATTGCGCAGCGCGAGAAACGCCGCAAAGAACTCCTCGAAAAGGAGAAAGAGAAGGCCGAGCTCGAGAAAAAAGAGCTCGAGCTCACCAAGCTTAGACAACAGCTGCAGGATCAAGAGACTAAAGACAAGTCCGATGCTGACAAGAAGAGTCCCGAGGCTCCTGCCAGCCCTGTGGTAGACGCCCCGAAGGAGGAAGATACCAAGGCTAGCCCTGCCACTGACGATGACAGCGACGAGGAGAACACCCCTCCGTCCTCCACCACTTCCGAGGTAGCTTGGGTCCAAGTCGCCGACTCTTCCAGCTGACTAGATGGCGTCCCCACAGAAGTAGAGGTATTCGAGGCCGACGTTTCCGTGACACTCCTGGACGCAACGGCTAGCGACGAACCACTCGCGACGGATACACAACCTCTACCCTCCAGCCAGATCGTGATTGACAGACAAGCGCAAGCGGCAACCTCCAGTGCGTTGATGTTAAGGCACGCCGGAGGCTTCGCCTTGGTGTATTCTATGCTTCATTTCTATTTCCTTCATTTGTATACTCTTCTCATGCATCTAAACCCCACGGTGCGACGGAACAAGGGATAATGGTCTCTGACTAGAGCCACATCACCTGTTTATCCTCGCCCCGAGACACTGACACCTACACCTACACCTCATCCTTGCATTCCATCCTCGCTCTGCTGTATATATCCGGCGTTGCTTTCTGATAACTGTATATCTCTTTTCCCTTCTTTTTCAATTCCACCCACCCACGCATCTAATTTCCTGCAGTGACCATATTCCTTGTTTGGTAGTTCTGGTGAATGTATATTTTGGACTTAGGAGCTAGCCTCTTCTGGCGAAATAAAGAGTTACAAACGTT